TTTGTCTCATGACATTGACTACAGTTTACCACAATGCAACAGCTCCCCTCCCACTTCCTCCCCATAGTTACCTCTTCCCTGTGTCCATCCCTCCATGTGCTCCTGCCCCCTGAGCTGTCTCCCTGTGCATAAACAGCCTTCTATTCTCCCATGATTGTTCTCGCCAAGGAGTGTATCTATCTAGTGTAAATGTTTACCTCATATGTTTGTCTTTTGTTTGGCTGGAAGCCACAGGAGTGGGTTAAGTTCCAGACCTGAAGGGCAGCTAGGGGCCATAGTCTTAGTGATTCCATTAGGCTCTATCAGACCAGCAAACCTGGTCCCTTTTTTTTTTCCCCCCAAATGATTTTTAGTTGTGTTCTATATTGTTCTCCCAATCTATCCAGGATCTCCTACAGAGATCCCCCTCCAAGTGGTTCAGAGTGGTACCTGGGTACCACCTAGGGGGAATATGTTTTTATGCTATCATAAAAGTTATGTAAGTTATTTAATTGGCTACTATTTTGTCATGTTCATTATTAGCAGTAGACTACTATTCCTTTCATGAGATACCAGAGTATTATTTTTCCAAAGAACTCAATGTTTTTCCCCTACTTCTCCTAATCTCTTCAGGACTATAAGCTACGTGATTGGAAGGGGTTATTTTGGGTTCTTAATTTTGGCACTGATATCTAATCATTTTTCCAAAAGGACTTGATTCAACTTTTTGTGTACTACACTGAAGGACAGTAGGTAACATTGGAATGTATATGGCATTGTCTTTTGCCCTCTAATAAATTAGCTTATTTTGAGAGAAGGTGTATATAAAATTCTTATCCCATGATCATTGATAGCACTATAGCTATACCTTTCTTATGGCACTTATTTCTTCCTATGTTTTATAGTCTTACTGGTACTGTACCTTATCAGCTATCCCTAACTGTAACATCTTTAAGGGAAAAAAACATGTCTTTCTCATCTTTGTACTGTCTGCAACCTGAGGAATTATTCATTGAATTATTGCATGGTGTAACTTATGTGAACATTCTTCAAATCCATAAAGTGCTGGAGAAATGTCAGGTGATATTTGCTAAGAAATTAATAATACGAAGTAGTCTTTATGCTGAACAAGTGGCATGGGTGCTAAGTTTCATGGAACTTTTGAAGTTGATGATATCACTGTGGACTGGGAAGTGGACCAAGGTTTTCCAGAGAAGGTAGAACTTGGGTTTTTGTAAGGAACTGTAAGTGTTCTGATAGGAATGGGAAAAATATTCCAGTTGGAGAAAGAGCTTGTACAATGGTGAGGAGATAATACCCAATGCATATTTAGAGACCAGTGAATAGATCAGAAGGAGCTCTGGTGGCACAGTGGTGAAAGCATTCAGCTGGTAATCAAAAGGTAGGCAGTTTGAACCCACCATCCACTGCATAAGAGGAAGATGAGGCAGCCTGCTTCAGTAAAGATTTACAGCTTTCGAAATCCTGTGGGGCAGTTCTATTCTGTCTTACACAGCCGCTATGAATTGGAATAGACTCAGTTTACGGAGAATACAAAGATGAATGAGAACAAGGGCTTTAAAGAGGTTGCCAGTGGTTGTATTAGTGCAGCAAAGGAAGTGTGCATACAAAGTACAGCAGACTTCTGAAAGAGGAAGGAGAGGACCAAGAGCTACTGGGAGACCTGGGAAAGGCTTTACTCAAGATGATAACTAAGCTGTGTCACACATCATAGGTGGAAACATGGAAGTCAGTTTGGTTCTTACAACCCTGTTTCCCTTCTTCACTTGTCCTCCTCTTCCATCTTGTCTGTCGTTTAATGACTATTATTGTTCTTTTTTAAAGGATCTACCGCTACCAGTCTCATGACTATGCCTTCAGTAGTGTAGAGAAGTTACTGCATGCACTAGGAGGGGATGACTTCCTTCAACTGCTTAACCGAACCCTTCTTGAAACCCTGGAGAAAGCAGGCTTCTCTGAGAAATTCCTCAATGAAATTGTTACTCCTGTCATGAGGTCTAATTATGGCCAAAGCATGGGCATCAACAGCTTTGCGGGTAAGCCAGGGGAACAGTAAGGGACACTAGTATATAAAGGGGCTTACCTGATGCTAGAATAGCTCCTGACATTAGGCCATGGATTAGAGGCTACCTTTCCTCTGTGAAACCTCAGAAATTACTGGTAAAATTACTTACATGTAGATAAGAATTTTTGTGGAGAGGAAGTCCTTAGCTTTGCCTAGTTCAGTGAATCTTAATTGGGCGTGGTGGTGAATGGGGCATTTGGCAGCGTCTGGAGACATCTGGAGCAGAACTCAGAACTCACTTAGGAAGGGAGAGTCGAGTAGAGAGCCTCCTAAAAATTACAATTAAAACACATCTTTGGTTGTCACACTGTGACTGGAAGGTGCTGCTAGCTAATGTCAATAGCAGTTAGGTTGAGAAACTATGCATTAGATTCTCAAAGAAGTCTTAATGACCCTCCAAAATCTTAACCACTGATCTAGAGGATAATATTGAGGTATCATGTTTGGCTGCCCTGAAACAAACAGCTAATGCAAATATAAATGAAACTTATTTACAGTCAAATTATCCTTGGGTGAAGATCTATGGATGATCTACCATTTTAAGATCATTCCTGTTATGACTAATAATATATGATTTAGCCAACATGGTAATTTTGTCAAAGTCACCAGTCACCGTGTTTTTTTTAGTATGGGTAGCACCTTTTGTTGTAGCAGAGTGATGTTATACCCCTTCACGTAACTCAAAACAATTTTGTTTCAATACTGTATGCAGTGCTGGCTTAATGGGTATGCAGCCTATACAAACTCGTTCCTGTGCTAAGAAGGACAGGATCTCCTGCTTGGTTTAATTGCTTGCTGTCAACCATCTTGAAATTCTTAATTTTTGAACAAGGGACTCTGCATTTTCATTATGCACTGGGCCTCTTAAATTATGTATAGCCAGTCCAAATTGGAAGTTAATTTTCATTAAAATGCTAAACAGGCCAACTTGCATTTAGCCAGATATCCTGAAGAATTCACTCCACTAGAAAAGGAGAGAGGATAGGCCTCTTACAGAGTCAGAATTAAAACACATTTTTTTCTTCTACTGACAGGGGCAGTGTCATTGGCTGGTGCTGAATCTGGCCTCTGGGCAGTAGAAGGTGGCAATAAACTTGTTTGCTTAGGGCTCCTTCAGGCTTCAAAAGGCAATCTTATATCTGGTTCAGTAATGTACATAGAGGAGAAAACAAGGACCAAGCAAACAGGTAAGCTTGAACTTCTGTTTCATCGTTCCTGATTTCCTCCGCAGAAAATGTTTTCTTAGGGAGAAATGCTCTGTTCAGCCATTGCACTCACTGTTCTTTAAGTTACATATGTTGTGTCATATAAAAACATTCTCAAATATGCTCAAGTACAGTAGCATGACTCTTTGGATTTAAAAAATAGTCTCATCCTTAAAAGGAAAAATTCCCTATTTTGTACTTGTTGATGAGGCATTATTTTCATTGAGTAGGAAATTGGCCTTAATGTATAAAAATACAAAGAATAGTTATCTTAAGGGATAAAACACCTTTAATCCCTTAGAATTATGGAGAAACTATTCTGCAGATAGAGCTATTTTTAGAAAGTATAAAATATAGTATGTTAGGAACACTAAAGACATGTGTGCTTTCTTAATCCCTCTAGGAAATCCCACCAAGATGTATGAAGTGGTCTACCAAACTGGATCAGAGATCCGTTCAGACTTCTATGACATCGTCTTGGTGGCTACTCCATTGAATCGAAAAATGTCCAATATAACTTTTCTCAACTTTGATCCTCCGATCGAGGAATTCCATCAATACTACCAACATATAGTGACAACTTTCATTAAAGGACAGCTGAATACAACTGTCTTTAGCTCTAGAGCCTTAGATCAATTTGATCTCAGTGCAGTCTTCACCACTGATAATCCAGATTTGTTCATTAACAGCATTGGGATTGTATCCCCTGTAAGAGAAAAGGATAATCCCAAACCATCAACAGATGGGACATATGTTTGGAAGATCTTTTCCCAAGACATTCTCACCAAACAGCAAATTTTAAAGTACTTTTTGTCTTATGATTGTGCTGTGAAAAAGTCATGGCTTGCATATCCTCACTATAAGCCTCCAGAGAAGTGCCCCTCCATTATACTCCACGATCGACTTTATTATCTCAATGGCATAGAGTGTGCAGCAAGTGCCATGGAAATGAGTGCCATTGCTGCCCACAACGCTGCTCTCCTGGCCTATCACCGCTGGAATGAGTACACAGACATGATTGACCAGGAAGACTTATATGAAAAACTTAAAACTGAACTATGAATAACACTGTCTCTTTTTTCCCTTTCTAGTTCTAAATGGATTATCATTGATAAAAAAAGAACAAAATCTGAGCAGAGATGATTTTGCATAAGATATCTGCCATTATCATTGTTAAACAGAAGTAATTTCTGTGGCCCTGAGAAAAAAATACAAGGTTCTAATTAAGAAGGAAGGCATAACTTGGCACTTACGCCACCTCCAAAATTTCTTCACTCCCCTTTCAGTCTCCATTAGCAGTGTTTTTCAGACTTCTCTGATCATAAGTATTATCTGGGCTTTGTTAAACACACAGCTTCTTAAGCTCTTTTCTTGGTGATTCTGATTCAGTAGGTCTAGGGGTAGGGCCCTGGATTTGGATTAAGAATTTAGAGCATTTTAAACAGCACTTGAGGAAGAACTAATGGCTAGACTTAAACTCTTTGTTGAGGTCTAGTTCATTTGAGCTTCACAGCTGGGCATGATCTTCATTCACTCAGATCAAAACTACTATGAAACCTGGTGTTTTATGCCTAGCATTGGTAGTTTATATCCTTTTTCACAGTAAGTGTGCCCATGCCCAAAGCCTTGACCCTTCCGAATGTTATCTTTCGATTGCTTGTTTTTAGAGGTGAAATTAGTAAGTCTTAGTAGCACAAGCTTAAGATGTCATAAAAAGTCTCAAGTAAAATGAAAACAAATATGGTTTATTGAATTAAGAAATTGGCATTCTATTATCAAACCCTCACCTGAACCTTAAACAGATGAGATACCCACCACCAGATTTTTGGACTTTACAGACTGGGGAGAGGGCCTTGGCATTACTGTTTTTTAAAGTTCTAGGTGGTTCTAACATGCAGCCAGGGTTGAGAATCATCAATGTAAAAATTTGACAGTGCATCTGAACTACTGTGTCAACTATAGGCAAAATACTTCCTGTACAAGAAGAGGTTAAGATGCCTACAAAGGATTTTTAGTACCTTAAATATCCTGAGAAACCGACTTCTGGTAAGATGGACGAATAGGCAGACAAACGACACAGACCCTCTTCAACAAAAAAAAGAAAAACCAATTGACAGACATACAGAAGATAATCCTGGAGCCCTGAGCTTTGAAAGGAACTATACAGAAGTGGATTAGGCACCAACTAGTGGAAAAACCTGAAGGAAAATAGTGAGTACAGAGATGGTTGGAACTGTGAACTGTCAGCTACTCTGATGAGACCAGTATTTCCAAGCCTGAATATTTCCAAGTGGTGTTGGGACCTGAGAATTGACCTAAAGAACAGCTTTGGTCACCAAGGGCTGCAGGGATGACTGTGCTGGTGGCCGATGACTAGGAAGGGAAACAGCAAGGTGGGAGACAACCTGAGCTGTTAACTTATCGCTGTCTGGAGGGTGTAGCCATTTTGGATATTTAAAGTGACCGAGGGCACAGCCATTTTGAAAGTTTACAAGCAGCAGCCATTTGGAATGTTTACAGGCGGTGACCATTTTGGATATTTAAAGTGACTGAGGGCGTAACCATTTTGAATCTTTATAAGTGGCAACCATTTTGGATTTTAAAGTGATAGCATTCTCATTCAGATTCCAGGGACCTAAGAATAGGCTCTGTTTGCCAAGGTTGGCAGGGATATACGAGAGGCTGACAACAGGAAAGGAGACAGGTGGTGAGTGTTTAAGTGCTGCCCACTAGCAAACAGAGGAGCACAGCACAGCACCTTGCTTGCATAGATAACAAACAAACAAAACAAAATGAAAATCATGGGCAAGTCACTCCAACATACAATCACCAATTTAATATAAACACAAAAACGTCACAATGCCTCGGAGACAACAGACCATCACAGTCCACACAAAGAAGCAAGATAAAAGCAGGAGAAACAAGGGACGAGGATACAAACCCAAAACATATCTCTGAGGAAGACGCAGCACTGGAACTCCTTGATAAGGAATTCAAAAGAATTAAATTTAGGTATCTTCAGTGAATTGAGAGACAGATCAAGGAAAACAGAGAGGAAACCCTAGAACAATTTCAAAAGACAATACAAGTACAAAATGACAAAATAAATGAAAAATTAGAAATGATACAAAATATACTTGCTGAAATCCAGAAGATTAATACTAAATTTTCAGAAATAGGTAAGACACTGAATGGGCAAAGGTGCAGAATTCAATCAATGGAAGACAGAATTAGTGAGACTGAAGGCAAATACTTGAACACTTCTTTGGAAAGTTATAAATCAGAAAAAAGATCACAACAAAATGAAGAAAGTTCATGTGGGATACCATCAAAAGGAATAACCTACATGTAATTATAATTCCTGAACAGGAAGAGACAAATAAAATCACAGAAAAAACTGTCAAAGGTTTGCTGCAAGAGAATTTTCCTGGTATGATGAAAGATCAGAATATATGCATTCAACAAGTCCAAGGAACCCCAAACAGGATAGACCCCGAAAGAAAATCACCCAGACATATCACCATCAAACTTACCAAAACCGAAGACTAAGAAAGAATCATAGAGCCGTACAGGAAAAACAAAAAGTTACCTACAAGGGGCAACCAATAAGACTAAGCTCTGATTTCTCAAGAGAAACCATGCAGTGAAAAATCCTGAGAAACCCAATCCATTATCAAAGCAGATCCTTTTTGCAAAGAATTTCTTTAAATGAGCTCTTGTAGTAATCTGGATAGTAAGTAGCACTGACAGTCTAACTGCAGAGGCAACTTAGATGATTCCAATAGTAGTTGGCACAAAGTAGGATATTCAGAGTAACATCAAACTTTACCACATCATGTTCAAAGTGTTAAATGTTTCTGGAACTGCTGTGCCATTCTGGGTGAGAAATTGGTTGCTGAAATGTCACTTTAATCTCACTTCAACCTTGACTGCACACTGGAATCATCTCAAGAGCTTTAAATCTTCCTGAGCGATTCTAATACATAGTCAAACTTCAGTATCAGTTCTACATGTACTACTGGCAGTCCCCAGGTTAAGTAAGGTCACTTCCTAATTGTCTTTAAGTTGAATTGTTGGTAAATTATAATAGGTGCACACGGTTCTACCTTTAGTGCAAGAGAGGAGCTTTGGTGGTACCGTGATTACTGCATTTGGCTGCTAACCAAAAGTTGGCAGTTTGAACCCATCAGCTGCTACAAGGGAAAGATGAGTCTGCTTCTGTAAAGATTTACAGCCTTGTAAACCCTGTGGGGCAGGGCAGTTCTACTCTGTCCTAAGGGGTTGCTATGAGTTGGAATGGGTTTGGTTTTGGTTTTAATGTAAGAAAAGGCTTCTAAGCCTTTTCAGTGATTTTAAAAAGCTGGGTGTGCAGCAAATGAAGTTGATTGTGAAAATCTGTTGCAAATAGGGGTTGGTTGGTTCAATCATTTCAAACTGAGGGCCAATTTATCCAATATTAAAGGACAGTAAGAATTAAGTCAGTTGTTCATAACCTTGGGACTTACTATATAGTCTGTGTAGTCACGAGAAACAAGCAAAAGCTTGTGATTTCTAACACCAGTGCAAATCAAGTTAGCATGCAAACCAAAAAACCCAAACTCACTGCCATCGAGTTGGAACCGACTCATAGCAACCCCTCCTTGGGTTTCTGAGGAATTATCACTATGGAAGCAGATTGCCCAACCTTCCGAGTGGCTGGTGGGTTTGAAGCACCAGCTTTCTGGTTAGCAGTCACATGCCTTAGGCCCTATGCCACCAGAGCTAAATTAGCATGCTGTTATTAAAAAAAGCTCTTCACCAGGTTATATAGCAGTAGCTACTTTAGCAAAATGGTGTTAGAGAATATTAGTTCATAGTGAAAATGATTCCTTCCCTAGTACAGTTGTAAGCTCTGGTGGCACAGAGGCTAAGGCATTTGACTGTTAACCAGAAGGTTGGCAGTTTAAACTCGCCAGCCACTCTGTGGAAGGAAGATGGGGCAATCTACTTCCGTAAAGATTTATTGCCTTGGAAACCCAATGGGGGTCACTGTGATCGATAGCACTGACTCTATGGCAGTGGGTTTGGTTTTGGTTTACAGTTGTGAATATTAATATACTGATAAAACTACGAGATACATTGTTTGATATAGAGGCAACAGTTAATCTCATGGTTTGTCAAAGGGTTAGCTTTTTTCTCATTTTATTCTTAACATGTTAAGAGGCATTCACATTTTTTTCCTTTTTGTGGTTTTAATGAAGACATGTATTCCTGGAAGACTGGCAAATATTAACAACAGCTGATTTAATTTCTATCCTAGGTACACTTGTTTTGCAATGGATGTTTTACTTAGAATACCGATGTATTATTGGTGTATCAAATCTATGTCAATTACATTTCCAAACCAGGCATCTGCAACTGCTTTCTCAAAGAGCAAAACTAGTATCATATCAGGCTTATTAGCCAGTTTTAATACAATTATCCACCAACTAAACCCACTGCCATTGATTCCAGCTTACAGCAATCCTATAGGACAGAGTGGAACTGCCCCATAAGCTTCACAAGGCAGTAAATCTTTAGGGAAGAAGACTGCCACATCTTTCTCCCATGGAGTGGCTGATGGGTTTGAACTGCCAACCGTTTGGTAAGCAGCTGAGTGCTTTAACCACTGTGCCACCAGGACTCCTAATGTACAATTACAGTATTAAGAATTTTTTTCTATTGGAAGAAAAAAAACTATCAAAGCCTGCTACTGCAAGAGACCACTCTAGTCATTTTTTACAGAAGAGACTTAAATATTATGCAGAGGCTGAATGAAAACTGGTTCTACTTGAGCTTGCATCAGAATCACATGAAGGACTTACTCAAACAGATAGTTGGGCTTCACCCTTGGTTTCTTTCAATAGGTGGGACACAAAATTAACATTCCCAAATGATGTTGCTGGCTCAGGAACCACATACATTTTGAGAACCCCTGCTCTGTAAGTTAGCTTTAGGTAGCTGCAAAAAAACAAAAAACAAACAAAAAAAAAACACCCCCAAAAAACCAAGCTGTAATCAGTGAAGATGAAATTAAAAAAAGCTGCTGGAGAAGAAAAGAAAAATAAACTTATTTGACTTCACACCAACTCTCCTTATTGTGATAAAATCTGAACCCTCTAGCTTTTCTGTTGTAAATTTTTTTTTCCCTAAATGACATATCATTTTAGATACATGTGTTCCATGTTTAAAAGTACCTCACATACCTGTCTATACTCTTCTCTACAGGCTTAAGGTGTTTCAGTATCTACAAACATTTTACCAGATCACAAAAAATAGGCCTAAGCATTTGCTTGGCAGGTTTCTTAAGGTAATGTTTGTAATACAACCATGTGTAATGTATGCCTAATACAGTCTGTGAGCCTTAAATCTAGTTCATGAACTACATGAATTTATGATGGGCAGCATTCTCACTACCCTTCTTACTCCACAAAGAACTAAAATACACTGGAATGTTCTCTTAAATGAATCCTGTTTCTACTCTTGTATTCAATTTTTTTTTTCCCATTTAATGATTACATTCAAAATAAACTACATTATTACTTCTTGTGTTTTACTGTTACATCACATTTGAAATATAGATGTATTGGAAAAGAGTAGATGAAAGTTACTATTCTAAGTTTTTAAAATTGAGGATATTTCAGAACTCATTCATATTTTGTGGCTTCTTTACCTTTGGTTCATTGTTGAAAGATGGACAAAAAGAACCCTTGCCATGTTTCAATTTTAAGAAGATCCTTCCAATTTTAACACAAAAATCTATTGAAATCAGTATCAAAAGCACCAGATAAAGTTCATGTTAGAACAGAATAAAAGCGAATACTCTTATTTCTATATCCAGAGCACCTGAGAGGAAGCATTTTTGCCTATTACAAAAGTTTATTTAACAAAAAAAATTAACTATGAAGAAATGTACATAGCCTGATTTTTACGTAATAAAACAGGCCCTTTGGAGAGGGGACATGTGGAAGCAATTGATTTCTCTGCTGAACACAGCCATTACTCATACTCGTTCCAAGGCTTCTAACATGATGATACTATTTCCTCGTATTACCTAAGAAAGAGAAAAACACATTTGAAAAGAATACTTAATAAACTTATCAATGAAGATTAAAGAATTCTCACTAAATCATCAATGGTTTTTATATCTTACATGTCAGGGTCTGAGGCCTTTTTCAAACCAAAGGAAGACTATGTAACATTCCAGACTAATTTGATTCCAAATTGCAACTAAGGCTGAGAATTACTGCTCTAATGAAGGACTACGGACCTCTGTTGTTGTTGTTATGTGCCGTCGAGTCGGCCCGACTCATAGCGACCCCTCCTTAGGTTTCCGAGGCAGTATCACTACTGAAGTAGGATTGCCCAACCTTCCTTCCGAGGAGTGGCTGGTGGGTTTGAACCGTCAGCCTTCTGGTTAGCAGGCAAGTGACTGAGCCACTATGCTACCAGAGCTCCCATGAACCTCTAGTATGGAGTAAAGCTAAAGAATGATCTTCAATAGCTCTATCAAGCAAAGGACCTCAGATCTTACCAAAAGGTAATTGAAATTATTTACTGCCACATGTTAAACTAAAAGGGAGATGGAGAGTCTAATCAACTATAATTTGTTTTTTCTGGGGATTACCAACTCTAATTTTTTTAAAAAACTACCGTTTAATCCATGAGTCTGATAGAAGGGAAGTTAGTGCACATCCCAAAATAAAAAATAAACCTCTGTCAGAAAGCCCTTATCTTTACTTACCACCATTCCAATATTGTTCTGTTGTCCACTAGTTGCCATCTCCACACATTCGTCTATCACAAGATTCATGAAGGGATCAAATCCCCGCAATATTCCTTGGACATGTCTGCCACCATTTAATTTCACTATAAAAAGGAGTAAGTTAGTTTTAATAAAACTGGCCACTATCCACTATTCATTAAAAATTAGGCAGGAAAAAACAGGCATTTGAGATATATTACAAACCCCACTCTCCTTAGAATATTGCAGGCACTGGGCTAAACATTCCACATTTGTAAGAATCCTGTTGTTGTTATGTGCCGTCGAGTCGGACCCGACTCATAGTGACACCTCCTTGAGATTCCGAGGCAGTATCATTAAGGAAGTAGACTGCCCCATCTTCCTTCTGAGGAGTGGCTGGTGGGTTTGAACCACCAGCCTTCTGGTTAACAGTCAAGTGCCTTAGGCACTATGCTACCAGAGCTCCCTATAAGAATCCTATAAAGTAGTATTAGTTTTACTTTACATGAGAACTGTAGGGATAGAGCTTTTAAGTAACTGGTTTAAGTTCACATAGCTTCTATGTGGCAGAGCTGGGATTCAAAGTGCAAGCTGTCTGCCTCTAAAGCCCCCACTGTCCCAAAACAGAGTGTTCCTATAAAACCTTTCATAAGCTGAAATGGTATAAAGTGAAGAAGCAATTACCATTAATTTATACAGGAAAGATTTTTGAATGTTCCTAGACCCAAAAAATAACCTACCAAATCATACCAAATAACAAAAACCTGAAATAACACCAACACACTGTTCAAAAACACAGTTCAAAGCTATGGTGGCTTGATGCTGAACGTAGTTCTTGGGGAAGGAGCTTGGAGATGCCCTTCTCACTACTCAGGGTGCCTGCTGCCTCTTTAACAGCCAATTGCATAGCAAATGCTGAATGCCTTTTCACATTATAAGAGTGAAAACCCTCTTCACATTTCTCTTGGGTAATGAAAACAAGATACTGATGTAGGTCTTTCATAAAAGCAAAATCGGGGATACCTGAATACTTTAAATACCGTATAGGTCAAATTTTTAGTAAAGCTGAACAAATGTGTTTTTCTTACATATTCCCAAGAAGAATAATAACTATTCCTTGTCTAAGTCCTATGTAGCTTGTTGAAAAAAAGGTTGATACATTTTCATATTTTACAGCAGCAGAAATTGGTGTCATGCTGCCACAAACCAAGAAACACTCGGGGATACTAAAAGCTGGAAAAGACAAAGAAGGATCCCCTAAAGCCTTTAGAGGGATGGCCCTGCCAGCACCTTGAAATCAGACTTCTAGCCTCCAGAACTGAGAGAGAATAAATTTGTTGTTTTAAGGTGGTGGTGGTGGGGGATACCTTTCCCCAGATTACGAATGAGTTCTGTGTCTAAATTTATTTTTGAGTTGAATTTATATGTTAAATTGGAATAGGTACAGTTCATATCTAATGTCAGTTTGTCTTAGTACATAGTGTGTACCTTTCTATGTATAAGAAACACCTCTGGACACACTAAAAATGTCTTTAACATAATAATACAGTAATAATAAAATGTTTTGATGTGTGTTGCCAAGTAGTTGACTTGTATTATGAATTACTGTATGTACTCAAATTTTAACATAATGGGCTTTACTGGTTTTAACTATGGTTTAGTAACCCAGAACTGCCTGTAATGAAAAGTCTGAAATGCTTTAAACTTATAAAGTATTAAGAACTAAGTAAATAAAATTATCTAGTTAGGCTTTTGATAAGCCTGTTTAACGAATGGATGTGAATTAAAGATTCAGCATGGTTAAATTTTTATAAAGTTGTTCTGAACACTATATACTGTCAAAACACAAATACCAAGCAAATGAATAATAATGAATAATTAAAAAACACTTACATGATAACTTCTTGTCCATAAATCTGAAAAAACCAAGAGTAAATATTAAATAACTGATTTTAAAGTTTAAAGCATAAATAAGCAGAGAATTAGGTACAGCCAGTACAACTGTTAAAATTTACACACTAGAAATAATACAATTTAAAACAGTAAAAACGTATTACTGTAAACGATTAGGGAGCAAGGAGCTACCTAAGTAGACATTAAGCAATGCAATATAATTTGAGAAGGGACAAGATAATTTGGTAAGAGGCAAGATATATTTTTTCTGTAATATTTGGCCTACAAACAAGCAAAAAGTATTTATTTAGAATATATTAATCTACATTAAATTGAGTCTTTATTCTAATGTGAATTACACATTCTTGTTGTTCAACAGTAGTGACCTAATTTTCAGTGGCTAGATTTTATAGTCATAATAGAAAAATACAGATTTGGTTACATTTTGATTTGTTCCCAAACTAAACAAACTATGTGAAGATATCATAGGGTAACCAAACCAAATCCAATTCAATAGGTATTTTATATTTGAGACAATAGTAATTGGTGTTGTTTTAATTAATATTAAAACATCAAACTTAAGTGTTCAGGATATTCTTTAACACATAAATATATTTTGGCAAAATAAATGTATACCAATTGAACAAATTCTATGTGTACAATTCAGTAACACTGATTACATTCAAGTTGTGCAACCATTTTCATCCTTCTTTCCCACATTTCCCTTCCCCATCAACATAAACTCATTGCCTTGTAAATGTTTCCTAACTAACCTTTTTGCTGTTGTTAATTTGATCCCATATAGTTCCTTAAAAAAAGCACAACGTTTAAGGCAGACATTATCTATTAATTAAGCTAAACTCCCAGTCTAGAAAATAAGGAATTTCATTCAGACTTAAGGTATAACGTATCATGGGAGAATTGAAAGACAAATAAGTCTTGGGCCCTAACAGAAGGTATGAGTAAAAACATTTACAATAAAAATATTTATACAGTATAATGTATAAAATTATATTTTAATAATAATAATTAAAAAAACCCAAACTCACTGCTTTTGAGTCGAATCCGACTCATAGCAACCCCTCCTTGGGTTTCCCAGGTAGTATCTCCACGGAAGTAGATTGCCTAGTCTTCCTTCCAAGGAGTGGCTGGCGGGTATGAACCGCCAGCCTAAAAGTATGTATTATACATAGTACAACACACATGTGAGCTCATTTAACCCTAGCAATAATTTTGCCAGTTACATACTACTATTACCACCACCTGTTTATGGATGAGGAATTTAGGCTTCTTAAGGTTAAGCAAACTGTACAAAGCCACACAGCAGGTAAGTTAGAAAGTCTGAGCAAACATAATTGGTTCAGTTTGACTGGAAAGCGAGGTTTTCAAATATTAGGGTATGTAAGAATGGATGATATCCTTGGTGGTGGATTTAAAAATGTTGTGTTAAAGACTTTATTTTGTAGAAAATGATAAGTCATTAAAGCAGAGTCCATCACTGGCAAGATTACTGTGGTTGTAATTTTTAAAAGGTATGAGGGAGAATTCAGTTAGGCCAGATAATCTGTTAGGGTCTGTCCTGGCCTCTGGCCATTAGATGGAAGTAGCACAAGGTGATAATCACTGTGTTATGTTAAATAACAACCAGGAGGAAGGTATAAAGGTGTGAAATGGTAAAGAAGGAGAAAAAACTAAAGAAATTTTAGTCACATATCTGACAGAATATTCAGAACTCATTAAATCAAGGGATTAGAAGAGGAAGGTATCAAAACTAGTTTCATCCCCTCAAATTCTCAAACATCTGTTAAGAATCAGAAATGAAATCTAAAATTACCATTACGGTACCTATAATGATCCTTTTATTAAAATAACAATTACCACCTCACCAGTTCCAGAGGAATCCTAAGGATATGAGATTTTACTAGTCCAATAAAAGAATAAATTTTAGATAACCATTTTGTGAAAATTTTTTATTTTTCTTAATGGTAAGCTTATAATTTAATAATCCTTTAAAACATCCAACCAAAATTAACGGATCAATGTCATACAAAAGGTGGCTTTGAGACAAATGTGCATTTAGCTGTAAAATTATTAAATACGAACTCTTCCTTTCCTTAAGTCTGACTTCTTTAAGGGGCTGGCAATAAATAAAACATACATAAGGCAGACCAGATGCACGAACCACACAAATTTATCTTTGGATACTAAGCCTTTGTGCAATCCAACTAGTACAGCCAGAATCCTAGCGTTACATGGTATGAACAAGATAAGAGAAGCCCTCGGGAGACATGGAACATGCTACGTTCATTAAATAAGTGTCCGAAAAAGTTAAAACTTCAAATTTGATCCTGTGTAAAGTAGGAATACCCTAGTTATGAATTCGCTTTGATTTTACTGGATGCAAGGGGAAAAAACCAAAACAACCCTAGCCTTCTCTGATTAGAAAAATGAATACTCTCACACAACTCTGACAATTAGAGCAAGGTAGCACAAGACATTCAAATTACATTATGACAAGAAGGAGGAACTGGATTTCTGATTTTTAAGTAAATGCTCGACCACAATCTCAAGTGGCTTTTGACTCCTTATATCCTATTAAAGACTTCCATTCCAACCACGTTACCCAGAACACGATGCTACTCATGATGCTAAACATAGGTATCATCGAGGTCCTTCAAGAAACGAGAAAAACCGAGGAGATGTGGAATAGGGAGCTAGGGAACAATGGAGGCAAACTGGCACAATGAGGGCGCCTTTACTGCTTTTGGTAACCAGCGAACGCGCGGCCTTGAGGCTCTGAAGCGCTGGACCCTGGCCGGGATCCCCGCGGCATCGGACCGGAAAAAGGGGGAGGTGCAGGGGTCCATGCCTATTTGGCCTATGTACGCCGGAGCGCGCGCGAACGGGAAATGGAAGGGAGTCTAAGCCACTTGTAGCACGAAAAAGAGAGTGCCACTTCGGCTAGGCTTGACAACTACTTACTTTTTCAACTCTGGCGGATGAGCTTTGCTCATTCTGCCTACTCGGAGGCTTCAGCAATGCGTTATAAAAGAATTCGCGGCCTCTCACGCTCCCGCGGACGGCGGCCGTTTTTGCGTCTGCCGTCATCTATCCTTTTAGCCAATGGATTGATGGCAGTGTTCACGTCTCACCTCGCGATGCTTTCAGCTTCGAGCTTCCGGTTACGTCGTGAAGGATTGGTCCTTTCTCGATTCTATTTCCCCATATGCAAAAGCGGGAAGGCAGGCCTGCTTCTGAGGAGCTCTGGTGCCAAAGTGGATAAGGCGTTTGGCAATTAACTACAAAGTCAGAGTTTCAAACCCCTCAGCCGCTCCGCGGGAAGATGGGAGGAGGATGAGACTGTCTGCTTCCGTAAAGATGGCCTGTGAGGCAGTTCTACTTTGTCGAATAGGGTTGCTGAATGGACTCCATGGCGGTAGGTTTGATTTGGTTTAGGTCCTTCTTCTAACTTCTGAACTGTATCAGCCAATCCCATCTTTGTGGATGGCACTGTTCCATCTCTTTCATATATACCAAATGAACCCAAGCCCTAGAGGAGAAGTTGTTAGCTACAGTCCAGTCCCTGACTTATGGCGAACCCGTGCATAAGGGATCGGCGCTTGTGATCCATAACATTTTCATTGCCTAATTTTTTGGAAGCCGATCTCCAGGCCCTCCTGGTCAGTCTTAGTCTGAAAGCTCTCCTGAAACTTGTTCAGCATAATAAAAACCAAACTTAAACCCACTGCCATTGAGTCCATTCTGACACATAGCAAACCTGTAAGATAAAGTAGAACTGCCTCATAGGATTCCAAGACTCTTTATGGAAGCAGGTTGACTTCCTCATCTCCTGCAGAGTGGCTGGTGGATGCGAGGGGCCAACCTCTTGGCATTATAGCAACAAGGAATCCTCCACTGACTAAAGGGTAGTGGCTATGCATGAGGTGCATAGGTGTCTTCATGGAAATTGAGAATTCCATCGTAGAACCATTACTCTTTCCACCCACCCGTGGAGGAGGGAGTCCCTACTATTTCTTTGGCATTTGATACCACAGTATCGTATCAAGACTAGATTCCCAGTAACATGAAATTAGCGGCCTGTTTCCACTAGAGTTCTAAAGTCCTCAGTCTTCAAGAATTTAAATCTTGAGCCCTGAAATGTATTCCCTATTAAGGGTGCAGCAATTCATGCTGCTTCTACATTGTCCTTACTACCTATAAAACATCAAATGCAGCACATAAAAGATCTCTGTTGTGAGGTACTGATTTTCCATGTCAAGTACACAGTGTAAAAGGTAGTCCCTGACTTGTCCCCAGTTATGAAACTACTCCAAAAAATTATCTACATTTATGAATAATGTAACAAACTCACTGTTGTGGAGCCAATTTGACTCATAGAGACCCCTCTTTGGGTTCTTGAGGTGGTACCTCTACAGAAGTTGTTATGTGCCATCGAGTCGGACCCAACTCATAGCGACCCCTCCTTGGGTTTCCAAGGCAGTATCATTATGGAAGTAGATTGCCCCATCTTCCTTCTGGGGAGTGGCTGGTGGATTTGAACCACCAGCCTTCTGGTTAGCAGTCAAGTGCCTTAGGCACTACGCTACTAGAGCTCCTTCTACAGAAGTAGATTGCCCAATCTTTCTTCTAAGGAGGGCTGGTGGGTTTGAACTGCCAGCCTTCTGGTTAGAAGTCAAATGCTTTAGGCACTATGCCACCAGAGCTCCTTATGAGTAATACAGGGATTACAAAAGTTTAGACCAAACTAGAAAACAGTTCATTTTCCCTTTAAATACTTCGCTGATTTTAAGTAGGGGTGGTTCTCTAAGATTTATTCCTAATCTTCACAAATGATTTCACTTAAATACCAATTATAGTAACAACTTAAACTCATCAAATATTTTGTATTCTTTTGGTACTCAAAATCCTAGACATTGAATTTTCTTGAGTTGCCAGAGCTGTGTAGCTTTCCCACCTGTTGCTGTGTTGAGTTGAAACTAGAGACCTGAAACAGGTATCAAGTTTCTTAAAGCCTCATGAACAGTTTCTTTTTCACATTCATGGGCTTCAAATCATAGTACTCTAGTCTTCCCTCAAAATTTTTTCCCGTTTACAATGAAACAGTCCTGCATCTGAACCACAACACATAATTAACACTACTCTTCCGCACATCTTAAGAAAACTCTTATTTCACACATTACAAAGACAACTCTGAGAAAATGATATAGTCATTCTCAGATATGAAGAAAAACACAACAGTATAGGGAAAATTAACACTTTTATTTTTTAAATTAAACCACTAGGAAAATACATCACAGCCTTGAAACAGCAAACAGACAGGCTACATTATCACTTCAAGTAATAAACTGGTAGAAAGGTGACAAGGCCCCTATCAAAATGATAAGGTGTCACGAGAACAGCAACACTGCATACTGCACAGGCCGCAGGCAGAAAGTGGTATTTGGTAATGGGGGCTGCCTCTCCTTTGTTCTCAAGGAGTCACAGCTCTCCCTGGCCCCTGCGTTACCTAATTTTTCTCCCTTAACTTTCCTGTTACAGCGAGGGGTTTGGCTCAACAGGGCTCTGTTATTTCAGGGGCTAAGTAACCAGCTACACACATCATCTGGAAAGAACAACTAGAAAAGGACATTATGTTTGGTAGAGGGCCAAAATAACAAGGAAACACTCAATGAGACAGACTGCTGTAATAGCTGCAACAATGAATTCAGACATACCAATGATCATCAAAGATGGCACAGGACAGGGCAACGTTTTATTATACATAAGGTCACTCTGAGTTGGAGCCAACTCATTGGCAACTAACAAGAAGTAAGCAATGCTGGGTTTAGGCTTTCATTTCATTCTGATCTATGAAAAACCAGGTCTTTCCAAATCCAGTACAACTTTCTTAAGCAACCAACAGTTTCAGTATTCCCAGATACTGATAACAATCAAAATTCCCCTTTGTCTTCAAGGGTAAGATTGTCATTAGAAGACTGTCCATTACTCTACTGCAGACAGCCTCAGGGGTCCCCATGACTGCCAGTGAGAAGGAAGCTCTGCTTCCTATACCCAGTGTGACACTGCCTGTCATGGTTTTGATTTGTCACCATGCTGAAAGATGCAATATGTGAGAATTTCAAGAAAAATACATCCTGACAGCCAGTTCTCATCCAAACTACCTTGTCTCCCAACTTGACATCTTAAGCAATTTGTATATAAAACAAAACCAAGCAAAATAAAGACCCAGACATGTTTCCATGACTGAATTACTGATCTCATGGATTTTTTTTCACAGCTTATGGAAAATGGGATGGTGATACTTCTTGTAAACCTTGCAGTTGAAACAGTCCTACATGTGAACCACAATACATATCCCTCCTCAAGCTCCACCAGATCATAGGCAGGTTGGAGGAAGCTGCCAGCCAGCTGGTACCTGTGTATTAAGGAGAGTCAGGTGCTTTGGGGGGATCTGGCTTGGTACGGCTAGGGAGATACCTACTGCCAGGATAAGCACTTGCCACATACAAAACAGGCTCTAAATAACTCTTGTGCTACCTCCAACCTAAATTTTAGCACCAGTTTTTCTCACTTCACAGAGCCAGGTAAAATATTCCTTAAACTTGCTGACATCCTTAATTTCTTCATTCAGAAACTTCACTTAATAGACCCAAATTCCCATTCTTCTTTTTATAGAGATTCCCACCCTCATCCCCAATGGCCACTGGTAAAAGCTTTTATTTTGCAATGGATGAGAGAGACTCCTTCATCTTCTTGGTCATGGATGGGATGAGATGCATGTGATCATCCACACACTTGGTCACACAGCTCTCTAGCTGCTGCTTCACCTGATGTTCCTTATTCCCTGCATCTATTGAATCTTTGGCTTTGTCATTGCAATGCATGGTACATCGGGCCAGGCGGTCCTGTGGCAAGAAGGAAGAGAGTAGAGAAGGTTAAGAGGTTGCCTCCATTTACCAAGTGCTCATCATGTGCTACAACCTATGCTACAGGCTCAACATACATTATCTTGATCAATGAAAGGGATATTGTAGTGCAGTTGGAAGGAAGTCTGGTGGCACAGTTGTTAAAGCATTTTGGCTGGTAACCAAATGGTCAATTGTTCAAACTCACCAGCTGCTCTGCAAGAGAAAGATGAGGCAGTCTGCTTCTTTAAAGATTTTCAATCGTGGAAACCCTATGGAGCAGTTCTACTCTGTCCTATAGGGTCACTATGAGTCAAAATTGACTTGATGGCAGTGGGTTTGGTTTTTGGTTTTTGTAGTGCAGTTAGACTCCTTGGGTGGTACAAATGGTTTACACACTCAGCTGCTAACCAAAAGATTGGAGATTTCAGTCTACCCAGAGGTGCCTTGGAAGTAAGACCTGGTCATCTACTTCCAGAAAATCAACCACTGAAAACCCTATACAGCATATTCCTATTCTGACACATATGAGATTGTCATGAGTCAGAGTTGACTACAACAACTTATTCTGGCTTTCTTTTTATGGTGCAGTTCTCCAAGACTAGGTAGGAGTTCTGGGTGGTGCAAATGGTTAAGCACACAGCTACTAACTGAAAGGTTAGTGGTTCAAATCCACTCACAGATGCCTCAAAAGAATGAACCAGTAATCTACTTCCAAGAAATCAGCCACTGGAAACCCTACAGAACACAGTTCTCTACTCTGATGCATAAGGAATTAGCATGAGTTGGAATGGACTTGATGGCAATAGGTTTGTTTCTCACCTAAGACAATCATGATTGAAAGGAGCTCTGGTGGTGTAGTGCCTAAGGCATCTGGCTGCTAACCAGATGGTTGGCAGTTCAAACCTACCAGCAACTCTGTGGAAGGAAGATTGGGCAATCTACTTCCGTAAAGAAGGAAGATGGGGCAATCTACTTCCGTAGTGATACTGCCTTGGAAACCCAAGGAGGGGTTGGTATGAGTTGGGTCCAACTCAATGGCACATAGTAACAACAACAAAGATTTACTGCCTCGGAAACCCAATGGGGTTTGCTGTGAGTTGGAATTGGTTCGATGGCTGATTGAAGCAGAAAGTGATGTCAGGAGGGCCCAGACAAAGAAGAACTAGAAAGCGGGTGAATGATGGAATAAATTGTACACAATGCTTCCAGGAAGTGAGAGGTTCCTGCTTAGGGGTCCCAAAGTACACAAAGGCTTATAAACATCTTATTCTTTAATGTCTGTCCATGCTACAGAAACTCAACTCAGCAAATATTGTTAGCATAGAGATGACACATCTACTGTGTAAGACTACAGGAGACTAGAGAAGTAGATAGAAAAGGTCCAAGGACTGCCTTGGGCACTTCAGTGCTCAAAGTTGAAGAGAGGAGGAATCAGCAAAGGAGGCCAAGAAAGGGTGGTCAGGGAGGGAGGAGGAAAACCAGGAGAGTGAGGTGTTCTAGAGGCCAAGTTAATACTCAAGGAGGAGGGGAGTGAGCAATTAACTGTATCAGCGATGCAGACAGACCAAGTAAGATTGGGGATTGGCCACTGGATTTAGCACCATGGCATTGAGTGGTAAAGCAGTTCTGGCACAGGGGAAGAGTGAAAATCTGACTGGAGAGGACTGAAAAGAGAATGGAAGGAGAAAATTATACAGAAATCCAAAAGTAAGTTTTTCAAAGGGCTGATCTACAAAATTGGCTGTCAAACAAAGAAACCCTTTGGAATTTTATGACCTTGGAGAAGTTATTCCTTCACAATGGCAGGAATCTGGAAAAATTTTGTACAGCAGAATGTAAAAATGTATCACATTTGATATACTTTTTTTATGTGTGGAACCTCAGGATATGAAAGAGTGGTTTGGAAACAGGCCCTGTTTTTCCCAAGTTCCAGAAAAGCATAGTGAGTAGAAGCGAGTAAAATGAAATTGTGGATACTTTTCACTCCACAGAAGGGAAAATGAAGTTATTTGAGTAACCTCAGAGGAGCTGGTGAGCCAGGCATCAGTGAGTCAACAACAGTTAACATTTCATATCAATGCCTGCTCCTTTCTGATGCAGGAGCTTTCCTCTGGGTATGGCAGCTAGGGGCAGTCCTAGGTAAGTCCATAGAACAGTGGCTGGATGTCCTCTCATCTTCGCTTTTTCAGATGGTCCTAATCCAGTCTCCTGGAGATTCTGCTATTGTTTTAAAATATGTTTATGAATTAATATATATTTTGACCACCACCACCAGTTGCTGTTGAGTCGACTTCGACTCATGGTGACCCCATGTGTGTCAGAGTAGAGCTGTGCTTTGGCAAGGTTTACAAGGCTGATTTTTCAGAGGTAGGTTGTCAGGCCTTTCTTCCAAGCTGCTTCTGAGTGGCCTTGAACTGTTTTAGAAAGCACTATATATATATAGAAAATATATAGTATACAGACTGTATTTGGTGCTTGTAACAAAAAAGAAAAAAAATAAGGCATAAAACTCTTGCCCATGAACATAATACCCTTTTACAACATTGTTCTAATGGAAAATATGGTTCAACTTGTAACATTCAACTTCCAGGTCTTTTCTAAAAATTTCAAACTCCATGAGGACTCTGGTAGGATATATGTTCATCCACAAATGCTACAAGGACCAAGACACTAAAGCCAAGAATTTTAAACAAATTTTTAACTCCTGAAATAAAGCAACATCAAGGCTCTCCTACCAGAGTCCTCCATTGGGATGTTCCTCACCTGGAATTTCTCCAGCTCGCTGGTCACCAGGGCCTGGGCTTGAGCCAGTGGTGCATGGCAGCGCTCAATGCACTGATGCACTTGCTGCATGGATGCCTGGCTGTCCTCACAACAGCTGGCGCTGCACCGGAACATGATGCCCTGGGGAGGAAGGGCAGAATGGGTTAGGCAGGAAAGCCTCAGAGGGCACAGATAACCAGAGGTTAGGACTCCTCCCGCTCCATCTACTGTTTTCATCTCCCCTTATAATAGACACCAAGACCTTAAATCCACGAATGGTAAAATTATCCTTGGTGCCTAGCAGAGTGTTTCAAAGACTCCTTGCGGCTGGTTCATTGGCACCTGTTGCATCCATGGCTGGGGGTGGGTCAGATGATGCCATGCTCTGTAAAGCAAGTGCTTGTACCACAGGTTAGAGGCCAGCAAGCTCTGACAACATTTAGGAGGTAAAATCATAACATTATACAGACCAGCACTGTGCGGTGGAGAGTTCGGTACAACAGAACCGGGCATACGTAACGTGGCCAATAGGGAGGCCTGGCGTTTTCACCTTTCCAGTCTTTCACCTTGGTTGTGCCCTTCCTTGGCCTCAGGCTGCTCTTTAGCAAAAGGGGCAGCGCATGAAGGGAGGGTAGGGGACGACAAATGCCTCACTTAAGGGATTTCTTACTTCTGGCTCGTGGACACCAACTCGCGCGGGCCAGATTAGGTGGAAAATGGCCGTGCGTCTGGTGAGGGCGCACAGATTTCATTTCATAAGCCAAAGCTCCAGAAGTTATGTCTTAAGGCAAGGCACGTTTTCGAGGGCGCCGCGGCGACTCCAGGGGCGCCCTGACCTGGGTCTGCTGGGAGGGGAACAAGAGGCTGGGCCTAGTGAGGCGACTGCGGGTAGGGCCCGGGAATCCGGGTCCCTAGGAGAAAGGGACCCCTGGTTCGGCCCCCGCCCCGCTACCTGCATCTTTCGGATGTTATCTCTCTCCAGACTCTTCACCATGGAGTCTACTGCCTCCTGCACGCGGAGCTGCTGCAGCTCCGCCATGGCGACCCCACGCAGCGGCCCACGGCGCCGGCGCCCACATGGACTAAAGCTCACGGGCCCGCCCCCTCACCGCCGCTTCCCGGGGCGCTGGGGCCGCGCAGTCCGTACTTCCCGGAACCATGTTGCCGCCTGGCGTCTAACAGGAGTAATTGCACGCCGGGAGGCCTGTCTCCTTAACCTGCCATCCACAAGGGGACGGTCTGCTCCCTCCCTTCCTCCTTCACTACCTCCTTCCTTCTCTTCCTCCCTTTCTCCTTTCCTCATAATTTATAGACTGAGAAATGCCCAGATCTTAGGTAGTTTGATGAACTTTGACCTTGCCTTTTCCCGAACAATCTGCTGTCATTATAGATCATATTTTCTTTTTCTAGGATTTCATATTGTTGTTGTTGTTGTTATGTGCCTTCGAGTCGGCCCCGACTCATAGCGACCCCTCCTTGGGTTTCCGAGGCAGTATCACTACGGAAGTAGGATTGCCCAACCTTCCTTCCGAGGAGTGGCTGGTGGGTTTGAACCACCAGCCGTCTGGTTAGCAGGCAAGTGTCTTAGCCACTATGCTACCAGATTTCATATAGTATATGTAATTTTTCAATATGTACTTTTTTTGTGGCTGGCTTTTTTCACTTAGCATAATGCGTTTGATAGAGCCATGTTGTTCTTAGTTTTAATTGCTGAGTGGTATTCCACTGCATGGGCACATCACAATTTGTTTATCCATTCACCGGTTGATGGCCATTTGGGCTATTTCCAGTTATTAGTTATTAAGCATAAAGCTATGCCTGTTGAACAGCTTTGTGCAAATGTCTTGTAAACATAGATTTTTTCACTTCTCTTGAGTAAGTGCCAGGAGCTCTGGTGGTGCTGTAGTCAAGGTATTGGGCTGATGACCAAAATGTGGGTGGTTCGAACCCAGCAGTCACTTTCCGAGAGATTCAGTTAAGATTTACAGCTTTGGAAACCCAATAGGGCAGTTCTGCTCTGCCTTATAGTGTCACTATGGGTCGGAGTTGATTCCGTGGCAGGGTTTTTTTTTTAAATTTTATTTTTGAGTAAATACCTATTAGTGGAATTGTTGGATCATAGGGTAATGTATGTTTATGCATTTATTAGTCTCAAAGGCAATGAGGGGCTACAAATATTCAGTCAACAAAAATGCATTTATATGTCAGCAATAGTGAGCTGTTTTGAACTCGTGAAGTACCCCTTCTCTCTGGAATCACCTTCTCCATCCTCTTCCCCTCTGATTTATCAAACACATATTGAAGTCCTGCTAGATACCAGCAGGGCACTGTGTGCCAAGGGCTGGGTACAGAGGGAGCATCGATGGAGAGGGGACAGTGGCAGACATAGGCAGTGTTGGAAGAGCTGTGCTGTAGGAGATGGCCTAGGCCCTCAACAGGGAAGTGAGTGGCTTGGTGCCTTAGAAAAGTTATCTTACAAGAAGTGATTTGGGTGAAGGGAAGGGCAATGTTCCAAAAGCGAGTGATCAACACAGTGGCACTGAGGAAGGGGAAGACACAGAGAGGTACACAAGAGGTATAGATAACAAAAATAAACACTTTTACGTATACAACACTATGTTTCAGTTATAACAAACATAAATCTACGAGTAAATAGATGGGTAGATAGGCTGAATCATCAGGTATGTCTTGATCAAGGGAATATAAAAGGTAAGGAGCTCTGGTGGTGTAGTGCCTAAGGCATTTGACTGCTAACCAGAAGGTTGGTGGTTCAAACCCACCAGCCACTCCATGGAAGGAAGACTGGGCAATCTATTTCCATAACGATTTACCATCTTGGAAAGGTGGTTGCTATGAGTCGGAATTGATTCAAGAGCAGTGAGTTTGGTTTTTGGTTTGGTTGTATAAAAGATTGGCAGATGAACCACTTGGGAAGGGATCAAACTAGAGATCCTAGCCAGAGCAGGAGGAAAATCGTGGAACAAAATTTAAAAACACAATAACGACCAGAATTACTGGTCAGATGGAGTCTGGTGGGACCCCAAGACTATTGGCCTGGGATACACTTCGGGCCTGGGATAGGACTCACTGCTAAGAACTGGCTTTCAGCCCAACAGTAGAAAGACTTACATGCAGAAAACCCTACCCAGGGTGATGTACCCACCTATTCTACAGTGATAAGCCCCTTGGAGCAATCGGCCATGGGACATCAGAGGGGCAGCATTCACATGGAAGGAAAGCTGGACAGACAGGAGTGCATAGTTAAGAAGGGCACAGGGAAGGGGGAGTCACAGAGGAGGGAGGGGAGGAGAGTGGGTTAGGGTTGGGGATGGTAATCGGGGAGTGAAACCGAATGTACCTGAACTGTTGAATGTAAAACAAATTCTGCTCTGTAAATTTTCACCCAAAGCACACACACACACAAATCCCACTGATGACAACAACAACAAAAACAGTATTTCTTAAGTGTTTTTTTTTTTTTAAAAATGGTTGGAAAACGATATTTCTACATACGTATTTGTATGTGCCGTAAGAATGTCCAAATATGTAAAAGAGCTAACAAGGGGCAAAGTTATGGTAACTTCTTTGCCATAGCCAGTCACCCTGAGGGAGAGAGTAGTTGGACCTGTGGACTCAGGACCATGGTTGCAGGGGGCATCAAGCTCAATTGGCATAAAATACTACACAAAAACATTGTTCTGCATCTTACTTTGGTGAGTAGTGACTGGGGTCTTAAAAGCTTGCAAGTGGCCATCTAGATGCAACAATGGGTTTCTCCTTGTCCAGTGCAAAGAAGAATGATGAAAACCACAGATGCATGGAAACAATTAGTCTAAGGGACTGGTAGACTATGAGATCTTCAGCCTATATGACCTTGAGACCAAGAGCCATTTCCAGTGGCTGGCTACACTGTCAACCACTCAGAAAGGGATCAGTGCAGGAGATCGTGGATAGAGTGGGAGAACAATGTGCTACAAAACTCAAAATCATAAAAAAGACTAGGTTTACTGGTCTGATAGAGCCTGGTGAGATCCCCAAGACTATGGCCCCTAGTTACGCTTCAGGTCTGAAATTGAACTCATTCCTGTGGCTTCCAGCTAAATAATAGACAAGCATATATGGTCAACATTTACATCAGGTAGACTCTGGTAGCATAGTGCCTAAGGCACTTGACTGCTAACCAGGAGGCTGGCGGTTCAAATCCACCAGCCACTCCTCGGAAGGAAGATGGGGCAATTTACTTCCATAGTGATGCTGCCTTGGAAACCCAAGGAGGGGTCGCTATGAGTCGGGTCCAACTTGATGGCACATAACAACAACAACGACAACAGACTTCTTAGAATGGTCAATCATGGGAGAACAGAAGGGCATTATTTGTACAGGGAGATAGCTGGGGTGGGGGGGGCAGGAATGCATAGGGCAGAAGGATACAAGGAAGAGTTAACTACAGTGAAGAAGTGGGAAGAGAGCTGTTACATTGTGGGGAATTGCAGTCAATGTTGTGAAACAAAATATGTATGAGCTGCTGTATGAAAAATGAATTTTCTCCATAAAGTTTCACCCAAATCACAATAAACAATATAAAAAAGAAAAGAGAAGTTGTCTTAGAGGTGGTGAAGTTTAAACTGAGTCTTTGAAGAGGAGTTGGTGTTTACCTGGCTCACCAGAGATGGTGGAAAGAATGGCATGCCAGACATATGGAGCTGCTTAGAGGGTAATAGAGTGTGGATAAAGAGTATGAAAGAGCTTGGAGTTTTGGGGAAGTCATATGGTTACTCCTAGAGTGTAAAAGGAGACTCGTGAGGGGGGCAAGAAAAGCCAAGAGGCCCTGTCATTGGAATTTAAGCATTTGCTGCCTAATGAGCACTAGATGGCAGGAGAACCCTGATTTGAGGGCACTGGGCAGCTTTACTCAACTCCAGTTCCTTTCATGTGGTGATGTTCCTGAAGCATCAGGGCCTTCTAGTCCCCAACTGCTGCTTGTTGTCATTAGCGGCCATTGGCCCCTGACTCATGGTGAGTCCATGCATAACACAATGAAATGCTGCACCTGTGCCGTCCCCATGATCAGTTGCAGATCAGACCTTTGTGTTCTATAGGGTTTTCATTGGCTGATTTTCAGAATCTGATCACAAAGACTTTCTTCCAATCTAGTCTGCAAACGCTAGTCAAACCAATGGCTGTTGCTTATGCTTGGCTGCTAACTGAAAGGCTAGAGGTTCAATCCATCCAGAGGCACCTCAGAATTGAAAGGCCTGGAGATTTTGCTTGTGAAAGGTCACAGCCATTGGAAACCCTATGGAGTGCAGTTCTGCTCTGAAACATTGGGTCACATGAGTTGGAATCTACTTACAGCAAATGTTTTTTCAGCTCCTCAGAAACCACTGTTCAGAATCATCCTTTCTACTTAAAGTTAGATAAGAGGAAGCTCTCAGCAGCTGCTGGAATCAGTGTGATGGTACAATGTGCTAGGTACTACTGCTTGAGGCCTAGAGAGGTAAAGTCACTTATCTAAAGTTGCAGTTAGAAACTGGTAGAGTCAGAATTCCAGACCAGATTGGTTGACTACAGACTGTAAATGTAGGAGAGCTCTTTATTGTGATTGAATTTAAATGTTTATACTTATGTCCCTATATTCCATGAAGAGTTCTTTCTTTCCTCATTGCACAATCTGAAACTCATCACCTTTTTTCCACATTCCTAAATGGCAGACTAAATCTCTGTAACAACTCCAACTCATGGGAGTCCTGGTCTTTGAGCAATGCAGCCTAATTAGTTAACGTATACAAAATGAGTAGTTCTTAAGCAGCTCTGGTGGCCTAGTGGACAAGGCATTTGGATGCTAACCAGAAGATCAGTGTTTCAAACTCACCAGCTATTCTGTGGAAGGAAGATGGAACAATCTATTTCCATAAAGATTTATAGCCTCAGAAACCCAAATGGGAGGGGGTCACTATGAGTTAGAACAGACTCAGTGGCAGTGAATTTTTTGTTTGGTTAGTTGTTTTGTTAGGTGCTGTTGAGTCAGTTCAGACTCATAACAACCTTATAGATAATGGAATAAAACA